TAAACAGTGCTGCAATGAACAAACAAGTGCACATGCCATTGTTGATATAGCTTTTCTTTCTGTTATCACTATAATCGACAGAAGAAAGGCATTCGTGTTCTGATTCTTAGGTTTGCAGTAATTTTTTAATTGAAGGATTATGTTTACTTAAATTTGTGTTGTGGGTTTATGATGCTTCTGCACCATGCCCGTCACCAGGTTACTAGTATCCTACTATCCTTTCTCTACTTCTCGATCTGTTTTTCTAATGAAAAAATTTTCCCCTTCTCTTTCTGTGTTCTAATTTAGAAGTTTTGTCATACTAATAAGCTTATCCAAAATCTTTGTTGTGCTGTCAAGTAATTCATTTAGTTGACACATTATTTTAGAGTCTGCTAAATGTCAGACACTGTTTTAGAGGCTGTAGCAGTTGAAAAATAAAAAAAAAAACAAACAAAAAAACAAACAAAAACTGTTCAGCCCTCAAGGAATTTATGTTCTGGCTGGGGTAGAGGTTTTGCAGAAAATTTATGCAAACAAAGACACAGTATAAAGAGCTATGCTTGGAGTATCATGTATCACTCAAATGAGAGAAAGAATCCAGAGTTCGACCTCCGTCGACGATGAAGAATCAGGGATGCTGTCTCATTTGCCAAGGTGTCAAAAATCAGATGGGCTGGACACATAATGAGATTTAAAGACTACCGCTGGACTAGAGCCGTTACTGACTGGATTCTACGGGATGTCAAAAGACCATGTGGACGCCCACCTACCAGATGGTCAGACTTCTTCATCAAGATCATGAACGATTGGTTTGAGGCTCTTTGTGTTCCTAAAACAAATAGACGCCATTGGACTACACTAGCACGTGACAGGGACAAATGGAGATGTTACTGGCGCCCGCTCGAGCAAATTGACGATTAACGGGAAATCAAGTGATCAGTGATAAAGAGATGGGACCAACGACCAAGTGAAGTAGAAACTAGTTTCATCAGACTGGTATCTACTGATATTGTAAAATGCTGTCCTTACAGCCTTTGCTATAATAAATGTTGAAAAGACTTAAGTGGCGCTCTCTGTACGATGCAGAAATGGAACCTGGCTACAGTTTTAATTTTTTTTTTTGTAGTGGTGGTGGTAAGGATGCACACTCAGAGGTACTTAGGAACCAATTTTAGCTTATGCTTGTGGGAGTAATTCTAGACTGTCCTGGTTGTACTTGGTGGTACTTGGATTACCAGGCATTGAACCTGTGTTGAGCTCCAGCCCTGGCCCAGAGCATGGTGACTCTATGTATAAGCAGGGGAATGGTGGCAACAAAATTGGATCTCGGGATGGGAAGTGGATAATAAGTACTATATTGATGTCCATGTTGAGCAGAACTTTAGAAACAGTTATGCTATGACTTGAAGAATGCAGCAGAAATATTAAGGTGAAACATTAAGGCTTACCTTTTGGTGTGACTCTTTGAGCAGAATCCGACTTCAGTATTTATTTTGACAGAAGTTGGTGTGTCTTCTGATCCATTTCTGTTACTGGGACTTAATAAATCTTTACACCATTCTAGTCTCTAGATGCCAAGTATAATTTTGCTGTGGGGCCTACATCCCATCTTGCCATTTCAGTAATAATTCTTCTAATGTTCTACTTTGCATGGAAAATACAGGGTTCAACTGGTAGTACATTTTTTCCCCTAAAATTCTTTCAGAAAACATGTTATGTGGCTTACGGAACCGTGTCTGTTTTAATTAGAAAGGCAGTAATAGGTTGCCAGGTTTATTTATTTTTTCTTGTTTCTCAATTCATTGCTGTAATTTATTCTTCTGTTGAAAGAGTATTATCATCATCATTATATCCAAACACTCATCTTTTTACTTTTCATTTCAGTGCCCTGTGATAAAATATTAGTTATTGGCATGGAAGAAAATTAGAGTTTTTCACTTGGATAACAAATGAAATGCTGTGATTGTGGCATTCGTGCTAAATAATCATCTCTGTGACTCAGAAATTAAAATGTGAATTCAAATGACTTGAAAACTGTCTTTGTGGTACATAGAAGATAGTTGGTTTAGAATTCTGTGTTATCTCTTTACCCAGCTACTTGTTTAGGACAGAACATTTCCCCAGATACTCTACTTTCCTATCTTCAGCATATGCTCACATTCTCCTCATTCTTTTCCTTCCGATGTTCATTAATTCTTATTGTCTTGTACCTAGCCCCATTTTTCACTGCCGTTGGTGCTCCTGGTAATGTTAAGTCTTAATGCTTTAATTTTGATACCTTCATATGGCCCAATATAAAGGACGTGTGCTTTTTATTCGCTGTCTCCAAAAGAGATTCATGTTATGTAGGGATTACGTTCTGTTGACTCACAAATGATTTTTGTAGTTGGTTCTCTAACCCAAAGGCAGTTTCATAGTTCCTGCAAGCAGCTTTGACTTACTTTTGACCCTGTCAGAGAGCTGTGTGGGGCTGTTCAACACATGGAACAGTGACAAATCACTTGTATACTCTAGAAAAACATTTGCTTTGGGGCCACACCCAACGGTGCTCTGCTTTTACTCCTGGGTCTGTGCTCAGGGATCTCTCATCACGGTGCTTGGGAACCATATGCAGTGTTGGGAATTGAACCTGGGTTGGTCTTGTGCAGGGCAAGTGCCTTAACCTCTGGACTGTCTCTCTAGCCTCTAGTGCTGTAGTCTTAAGATTAGTTTTCTAAAGTTGATACTGCAGGTTACTTCTGAACAGCCTCATCTCATGCTTGGGACTTTATCCTCTTCCACACCCTGCCCCCGCCCCTTTCCATTTAACCAGGAATGTGGAGGAAAGAATTCCACAACACGTATTTTGTAGTACATGGCTTGGTAGAATATTACATGTTAGCAAAAATGATAAAATCTTGTGTTTTTCAGACGGGGTACAATCCATTTTTTTTTAACATACTATACATGTGGGACCCTACTTGGGAGACCTTACACCAATCATAATGACTGCTGGGTAACAGATGCAGATGTTTGATGGCTCAGCTTCGCTCAGTCCCCAGATCTGCTGTTACTTCTTGCTTCTACACGAAAATGCTCCTGTGGTCTCTTTTTATTTTTGCATAAAGACTGATCTGTTCACCAACATAATTTCCAAATGTTTATGAAGTATTTCTTGTACAAGGCATATTTCATAACCTAGTAAAATAAGAAAGTACGAAATATGGCCTAATAATATAAGAAAGTATTATCTTTTCTCAGGGGCTATAATAAATTATAGGAAAATGCTACTGGTGATACTTAGAAATATAAGGGAAAATGTTTTATTGAAGCATAGGAGCAAGTCATTGAAAAAAATCTAAACTTTTGTTTCTAATTCTTTTTTATATTCTAGGTTTTTGGGTCACACTCATGGTACTAAGGTGCCATTCTCAGCATAGTGCTTGGGGTGATTCTTGGGGTACCATGGGGTGCTGATGATTAAACCTCCCAATGTGTGCTCAGTGTGTTGAATTATCTCTCTGGCCCTTGTTTTTATTCTTAATTCAGGATGTTTCTGTTGTTTTAATGGATTCATGAAATGTTAGAGCTATAAACAACCTCGAGGATAATATTCTAAGTGCTCCTTTTATCTTGTTTTGGAACCACACCCAGCTGTACTCAAGGCTTTGTCCTGGCTCTGCACTGAGCGATCACTCTCAGTGGTGCTCAAGGGACCATTTGGGATGCTGGGGATTGAACCCAGGTGGCCTTTTATATAAGGCAGGCAGGCGCCCTACCCACTGTACTATCTCTCTGCCCCTAAGTGCTTCTCTTGTGAAAGTCTCACACAGGCCAGGGAAATAGCTGAAGTGGGAGAACAAATACCTGGTATGTGTGAGGTTCCTGAGTTCTCATCCTGGCACTGCATTGCCCCCTCCCTCCAGCACTTCCTGGTGTGACCCTCTATTGTCCACTGTCACTGTCCTCCCATTGTTCATCGAGTTGCTCGAGCGGGCCCAGTAACGTCTCCATTGGAGACTTTGTTGTTACTGTGTTATGCCCTACCGCTGTGCTATCGCTCCAGCCCCGTCACCCTCTACAACTGACAAAATACACACACACACACACACACACAAAGCAGGAAGACCAAGTCTTATGGTCTGCACAGCCAGTTCACATTCGCACCTGCTGCTTTCCATGCCTCTCAACGCCCAGTGCATTGCTTTGTGTACCAGAGTTCTTCGCAGTGTTTAGTACAGTAGCCAGCATATAGAAATGACCCAATGTCCAATGACTGACAAACAAAGGAGTTGCGTTTATACATAATAGAACACTGTATAAGAAAAGATGAAATCTTGCAGTTTACAATTTAAGTGGAACTGGAGGGTTTCATGTTTAGTGAAATAGTACAGGAGATAAACAAATACTATTTGATTTCTCATCTGTGGAATATAGAGAAAAAAGAGAATAGACAGTCTTGAAAGATCATGAATTTTTGGCCTTGGGTTATAAAACTGAGATTACCTCGCGGTGTGTGTGTGTGTGTGTGTGTGTGTGTGTGTGTGTGTGTGTGTGTGATGAAGAAGTAGACTAGAAGTGATATATAGTGGATGGTCTTGGGCACTTTGGTGGTGAGATGTGCTGATTGTATCTCAAATTCAGAAAAACATTAACACTACTGTAGTCATGTTACCTAAACTATAATAATAAAAATAATTTTTAGAAAGCACATAAAATAGGGGCTGTTGATAGATATTTTAGAATATGTGAATGAACACAGATTTAGAACTTTTTTTAGTCCCTGGCATGTTTGTTTTGAATTTACTTTTATTTGAATCATTTTGTGATCCAAGAAAACACAGTTTGATATTTTTCTTAAGCATGTTATGCACAATATATGTTTCATGCACCAGATATTACCCATGTGGTAATACAAACAGGAATCTTTCATACTTAGGTCATAGAGATAGCTTTTTGCATTGTTCCTTGTATAGCCAGTTTTTGAGGTATCTGCATTTTAAATACTTATTTTTTAAAACTTATCTTTTAAATTTAAGTTACAATGGTGATTCCTTGGCGATCATTCCATGGCATGAACGCAAACACCGTGATGAAGATTGGTGTGAGGAGTTGGAGTGCAGGTAAGAATGCCCCAGAACTCTCTGAAACCCAAGCACAAAAAATTGTTATCTACAACTGTACCTCATGGCGTTTAATTAAAAAAATGAATGAGCCAGCACAGGGATCTTATTTTCTGTTGTGGTGTGAATGTCTTGAAGATTCTGGACAGGTGGTATGTGCCATATGATCACTTATTGGATGCTGGTCTCTGATTTAAATAGAGGATTCAAAAACAGAGGAGAGCAAAACAAGTGGTCATTTATTTTGTGGCATTGAAGAGGGTGTTTTGTGGACTCATAGAAGTATGCAGTGAGGAGAGGGTAGGTAGCAGGACTCAGGATGGAGAACAGTTCAGCAGGACAAGATAGAAGAAGAAAATCTTGCAAATAAGAGACATCCAAAAACCAAGGGAGAAATCATGAATGTGTGGTGTATCGATAGCACAGCGGTAGGACGTTTGCCTTGCACGCAGCCAACATGGCCAACCCGAGTTCGATTCCTCCGCCCCTCTCGGAGAGCCCGGCAAGCTACCGAGAGTATCTCGCCCGCACGGCAGGGCCTGGCAAGCTCCCCGTGACGTATTCGATATGCCAGACACAGTAACAACAAAGTCTCCAATGGAGATGTTACTGGGCCCGCTCGAGCAAATTGATGAACAACGGGAGGGCCTTTGCCTTTGCCTTTGTGGTGTATAGGAAGGAAAGAATACCATGTTTCTAGAAGGAGGGAAGTGGGTAAATTCTACAAAGGGGTACTGAGAAAGAAGTAAGATCAGAAAAATAAAAATTCCCAAAGAAAATCGCAGTTTGCTTTTTGGGAATTTCCCTGCGGAAGGGATTTCAAGTAATGTGATTTTTTGTATGGCATGGATTGTGGTAGAGTATCACAGTTTAGAGTAGTGATGGCAATTACGAGATTAGTTAAATGAAAGACTGTTAACTGGAACCACAGTAGACTGTTTCAGACATGGTAAAAAGACCCCATCATTTCTGGACTTTGTGTCTTGTCATATATTCTAGCTAGTAGTAAGTCTAACCAAAGCAGTTTCTGTGAATAAAAAAATAAGCCCATGCTATGTGTCAGTGTTCTTTGTGTAACTACTTGTATTATTTTGAATATTCTTGCTTGCTCTTTATACCTGTTTTGTGTTGTTGAGGTGTTCACACCAGCCCGTACCCAGTGCTATTTGGGAATTACACTTCGTAGGCTGGCAGTGACAGGTGTCAAACCCAGGGTCTCACACAGGCAATGCATTTGCTCTACCTCTCGTGTCAGAACATTCTATCAGTAGAGCAGTCAGATTTACTTAGGGACATGTCCTTAATGGAACACAGCACTGCCTTATATATTTATTTAAAAAAAAAAACAACTTAAGTTTCTTATTCTTACCTGTTTAGTCTTTAACCATGGAAGGCAGTAGACCAAAATCATTCTGATGAAAATTCCCCAGGATCTGTGATTTCATGATGTTTCTCTGTGTATACTTCCATGGTTTTTTTTACTCCTGTAATTGAGTTGTAAAGAGTAATTCCATATTTTGCAAATATCAGTGCAGTGCTAAGTTGCTGGCACTTAACAGAGGTATATTATCAACATATATGAGGCATAATTCCTCATATTCTTTATTAATGGGGAGAATATGTTTTTTAAATTTATATTTGAATTGGAATTTCCTGGAAATGCTTTTCCTGTTATATTCCTGACTGACCATCAGAAGTTATTTTGATTTATAGATCTTAACGAGGCACTCAGCCATGCACATTTTATAAAAGCTTCCCAGTGTGATTCTGATTTTGTTAATACTGACTTGATTGATTTGTAGCATAATTGTTTTGATTTATTGCCATTTTCAAACTGGGGAGTCTAATAAGAAAATAAGTTATCTAAAATATGATTCATTTATTTTATAAAATGCATATCCATATGAAAAAAACACCTATATTCCCTTTCTACACCTTCTCTGTCCCCATATCCAGAGTCTTCACCTTTTTCTCTGTCCCTCTCCCTCTCTCCCCTCTTCCCTGTCTCTCTTCCTGACCTCCTCTACACGTAATATTATAATTTTTTTACAGCATTGCAGTCAGTCATTGTTCCTTTCATGCTTTGCAGAATGGTGGTCGAGCCGAGTCTCTCTGATGAAAGTGAATTCTTGTACACTGCCCAGCCAGAGTTGCTGAGGTTCAGGACCCCGAAGCTTGCAGTAGAGCTGGTTATAAACTGGTACCAGACCAGAGCAGAGGAAATAGAGCACTATGCCGGACAGGTGAGGAGGAGTGGGAATGATGCTTTCTGCTTATTTTTGCTTTCGACATAGAACTTCTGTATAAAAATGGCTTTAAAACACACACACACACACACACACACACACACACACACACAAACCCACTTCAATTTTCTGAAGTTGAAATTTGGCAGGGGGGACCTTAACCCATGCTGCTACACCCAGCAGTAGTTTGGAGCTTTTCATGGCTTTGTGCTCGGGAGTTACTCCTGACAGTGCTGAGGAATCCTGCCCGTGTGGTGTGGGGATTCAAATGAGGGTCAGCCATCTGCAAGGCAAGCGCCTGCCTCCTGTACTAGCTCTGTGGCCCTGAAATTGAAAAATTTTAACTGTCTAGTTATCTTGAATTCTTTCTTTGAGTCATTAGGGATAATTATAAAGAAAAGAAAGTGATTTTGTGGTACTTAATTTTGCTGCCTTTCATCCCTTTGACTTAAAAATATTTAGAATAGAAATATTAGTTTTACGGGTCAGAGAGATGCTCCAGGGGTTAAAGCACTTGTCCTATGACCTTCCCAGAGAAATCCCTAAGGTTCCCGGATCTCCGCCAGTAGTGATCCCTGAGCACAGCCCAACAATAAGCCCTGAACACCATGGGTGTAGCTCCCCAAAATGACCACAAGAGAAAGCAGGTAAAACAATATTGTTCTTCACTTTCAGTCCTACCATAAACTACATGAAACATTGGTACAAGGTGATAGTCGACATAGTTTTATCTTTTTCACTCTTAGAGACTTAATTGATAAGGGACTTCTTTGTCCTCAGTGCCTACAGCTGCCATTAGGAAAACTTGTTAGTTTAGGAGAATATGTACAGTGGTGAAATTTATCCAGTGACAGCTTCGGTATTTGGTATGATTATGTAAGTTGCATTGAGCCCACTTAAATTAATATATCAGTAATTTGATTTTAAAAAAATTACTTGAGTATTTTGGAAAGTAAGAAATTCAAAATTGATGTTCAGAAAAGGAAACTCGATAACAGATTGAAGAGTGTATTACAAATTGCTAATTACCAATGGCCAGCATATTCAGATTATTTGTATAATTTGTGCTCCATGCATTAGGATTTTTTTTCCATGCATTCTGAAAGTTCACTTGAGATATGTTGTTTCTTAAAATTGGTGTCAGGTAGATATATCAGTCTTGAATTTTATTTTTATTATTAAACGTTGGACTTAAAATGTTTGTTGAAGTGTTCCTAGGTCATTTCTGATTTTTCTCATGCCTTCCCTACATGTAGTTTCCCTTTTATTCCTAGTGTACCATACTTTTTAATCTGAAGTTCCCCCCCCCCCCCTTTTCACTTCATTTTCACCTCTAAATCCTTGCAGCTTTGATGGGCTGTGGTTAGACCTTTAATTTTCTTCACCTGTTTCATTGTGCATCTGTGCATTGCCTGGGTGCTTCCTTTCCCTGTTCACCTCTGTCCTTGCACCCCTCCTCGTCCCTCATCATTCTGAAAATGATTTGACTTTACATTTCATTAGGAAATCTTGAAAATTCACTTCCACTTTTCCTGATTTTTTCAGCTTTCCTCAGAGGAAGTGCTTTCACATTTAGGCTTAGGCTGCTTTTATTCTTATATTCTGAAGCTCACCTTTGTGCCTGCCCAGGATTGTTATCTCATTTATGCAGTTTCGTATCGCTAGCCTCTTCCTCTCTGTATGTTATTTCCAGTTTTTATTTATTATTTTTTTCCAGTTTTTATGTTTTTAAAAAAATATCAAATGTAGATCACCTATTTTATAAATACTAACTTTTCCCCCTCTTTTGTTTCTATTTTACTTCTTCCCATTTCAACTCGGCGTAAAAATAATCCTTCTGTGGTCAAGGTAGCGTAGTAGGTAGGGCACTGACCTTGCACGTAGCCAATATGGGTTTGATCCCTGGCACTCCATATGGTTTTCCCTAGGTCCACCAATGTTTGTAGAGCTAGGAGTAAGGGCTGAGTACCACCCGGTGTGGCCCCAAACCATCATTCCTCCCCCCCCCACCAAAAAACCAAAAAAGGAATAATCACTCTACCCATTGTAGTCACTTTCTCAATGTTTGTTTATTCCTTATTTCCTGGCAGATAGCTAGCCCAACCACTTTGATATACCTTAGCGAAAGTGTCCTCAGTAAGATTCTTCTTGCCATTGTCTTCCTTTGTTGTACATATTGTACTTTGGTTGTACTACTGTCTTTTTCCTGGTAGTTCTTCTGTTTAAGACCTTGGTGATACCTTTTTTTTTTTTTTTGCTTTTTGGGTCACACCCGGCGATGCACAGGGGCTACTCCTGGCTCTGCACTCAAGAATTACCCCTGGCAGTGCTCAGGGGACCATATGGGATGCTGGAAATAGAATCCGGGTCGACCACGTGCAAGGCGAATGCCCTACACGCTGTGCTAGGGCTCCAGCCCCCATGATGCCATTTCATATTTTACCTTTCGTTTTCTTACTGTGACTCATGTTCTTTTATCTGTCTGTTAAGTACTGCTATCCCTTAGGATACTACTCTTGTCACTGGTGGGGTATTTTAATTGGCACCAGTATTAAATGTTTTTTAAGTCTACCAGTTTTCGGAAATTTATTTCCAATTCTTCGTTTTGTTTATCATATAGTATAAACATTTTCCTCCTAAAGTGTACATAGTTGTACTATGACAAATCTGAAAATCCTTTAGTAATACTGCATTTTAGTACAAACTTCAAATTTTTTACTAGAAACTTTAAAAATTGTTGTTCTTGATTTGCCTTTCACTTACTACTCTAGCCATGTAGTTTATCACTTCATAGCTTTCTTTCAGACTTCCCAAACCAGTACTGTCGCAGTACTTTTTATATTTTTGTTTTCTATAGCATTCCCTGCCTTTCTTCCTACTTTGCCTACAAATATCCACTGATTCTTTAGACCTCTTTTTAAATGTTTCCATATACAAGACTTTGTGGCCCTCCCAGGTTGGATTTTGTGCCTTTCAGTGGAAATCCCAATTATCCATAACGTTATTTCACTCTATTACAACGACTAGCTAGTGAGATCTTTGAAGGAAGAGATTTCCCCTTCTTCATTTTTATAATGCTAGCACTTAGAATTGTGATTAGCTCAAGTAGGTAGGTGCTCAACAAATAACTGTTTGTCTAAGAGTAAGGGAGTAAGTAAGGGGTAGTGGAAATCATTACAACTTTAGGCCATATTAAAAGCTTTTCTGTCAATAAGGCAGTTTATAAATCTGATCGTGATAGGTGTCAAAATTTTATTGAGAGTTTAATGGGAGAGTATTTGTTTTGATCTTTTTGAAGTCTAAATATTTGAAAGGAGAGAGGAAATGTCTCAGACTTTAGCAATCCAGCAGGTATTTTTTGAGTCCTTTTCAATAGAGGCATGGAGGAAGGAAGGTACTGCTACAACCTTTCTTTTTGTAATAGAGTGCTATAGTGAAAATAATTTACTATTATCACTACTTTCCTCCCATAGATTGTTAAATATCATAAGACTTCAATAGAAAAATATATGTAAATTTTTTCTGTAAACTGTAATGCTCTTCTGATTTAAGAGTTATCTTTTATTAATATGATATTCTTAATATTAATAATATATTGTTAATTTTCTCTTACTAATATTCAGTATTTCTTCATGCTGGTTTCATAAGATCAAACTACTGTTTTGAAGTAGTTTGATGTTGATACATTTAGAAAGAAAACTCTTAATGTTTTTGTAATAAAAAAAGTACGTTACTATATAATGCAACTTTATGTGACATAATTATGAAATTAGATTCTGTATTGGAAGCTTTTACTTTAAAGTGTATGTGAGAGATAAAATATTCAGAGACTTACTGTCATTTTACATTTTAGGTTGACTGTGCATTGTCACTTATTCGACTTGGAATGGAGAGGCATATTCCTGGCTTGCTGGTTCTATGTGATAATTTGGTTACTCTGGAAGCATTGGTTTATGAAGCAGGGTGTGATTTAACCCTAACCTTGAAAGAACTCCAACAGATGAAAGACATCGAGAAACTAAGATTATTGATGAACACTGTAAGTTTCATTTTAATTTTCTCTCTAAGTATTTTCTTTGTTTTGATTAGTCAAAAATTAGTCCTCTGAACATGAGAACTTAGTAAATAAAGGTTTCTTAAAAAAATAAAATCAAATGTTATAATTTACTGAATTATACTGTCACTCTCACTGTCCTCTCGTTGTTCATTGATTTGCTTGAGCGGGCCCAGTAACGTCTCCATTGTGACAGTTGTTACTGTGTTTGTCATATCGAATACACCACGGGTAGCTTGCCAGGCTTTGCCGTGCGGGCGAGATACTCTTGGTAGCTTGCTGGTCTCTCGGAGAGGGGCGAAGGAATCGAACTCAGGTCGACCATGTTGGACGCTTCCAAGGCAAACGCCCTAACCGCTGTCCTATGTTATAATTTACCAAAGATAACACAAAAAGATTTTGACAATTTTCACACCTTCCTTTATTTGTATAATCTTTATATCACTTCTTTTCCTATTCTAGTGTGGCATTTTTTCTAATCTAACTGGTCCTTCTAATCATTTATGTTAAAATTCCCAATTATGTTGGGATTTTAAGAAATTAAAGCAGGAATTGGATTTTAGAGTGGGCAGTTGAGTGAAGAAAATGTCTTGGTTAGTATGTTAGGAGAATTTCCCGACTTAGATTCTTGGGTCACCCTTGAAAGAAAGCATACCTCCTAAGTGAGGGTTCTGTTTCCACTGAACCGCTGGGCAGAGGAGTGACATTGTCACACTGTCACATTGGTGACAAGAGGGAGTGAGTCTTGGTGGGGGGGGCGCATGTCACTCAGCAGAATGCTCGCCACTTTCTGTGGAGTGCTAGCTGCTTACCATGTTGCTGCTTGCCACCTGTGGCTCTCGTGCCACTGTGGATTGATTAACACAAATTAGTCCCAGATCAATGTGTTAAAGATGCTTAAAAAAAAAAAAAGCAAAAACCAAACACTTTGCTCTCTGGCAGCAATAAATAGAGTATAATAGGGAGAAGTCCTAACTCCTTTCTCTCTGAATTGTTTTCTATTTCTCTAGTACTTTCTTTTCAGTGTTTTCCCTTTTCTTTATCTTTATTTCTCCTTTTTTAAAAAATCAGTTATATTTTTCTCTCTTCCTTTGTCCCTACCTTCCCTTTTTCCTGTTACTCTCTGATCGTGGAAACTCCCCAAGGAAAATTGATTTGTGTTACATGTGAGATTCCTTTGAAGATATATGTGTATCTCCTGGGGTGATTAGGAGGAATTTCTGGCATAATTAGTAAAATTGTGATATTAGAGGAAGAGGAAATACAAGACAATATTTGGACATTTTATCGATTGAGTACTCTGCTAAGTGGACTTTCCCTGTTTAACTTTAATCTGATAATCTGGGAATATTAGAATATTAGAATGTTGTTATCTGGTAGGATCTGTTATTTAATATGTGATTTTTCATTCTGTCTAATTATATTTTCAGTGTTCTGAGGACAAATACGTGACAAGTGCCTACCAATGGATGGTCCCCTTTCTTCATCGTTGCGAGAAACAGTCTCCTGGTGTGGCTAATGAACTATTAAAAGAATATTTAGTAACTTTAGCTAAGGAGGACTTGAAGAATCCTCTGAAAATATTTCAACATTCCAAACCAGATGTAAGTAGAAACTCTTCCTTCTTAAAAATCTCTGTGCTTTCTTTCCCACAGAATTGAGTTTTATTTATCAACTTTAATAATAGTCTTTGCCAGTAATTTCCCTTTAAGCAGAAAAGGACATGGTTGACAGTTCATTTAAAAATATAGTGTCATTTGACAACTTTAGGGAAGTTCATTATATATGTTGATTTAATGAACTTCATTAAATTTAGGGAAGTTCATTAAATGTTGTTGATTCTTTTCAGTGTTCGTTGACTATATAGTAAATTAGGAAACTGGGAATAACAAAATACTAAGAGTTGATAGATATTGAATTAATTTAGCAGGTGCTTCAAATGTATTAATACTTAATTTTTTATAACTACCCTTGAATTAGATATACTTGTATTAATATTACAGGAACAGGAAGTTGTAATTTAGGCTGGTCAGGGAATTATCCAAGGTCCTATAGTAGTAAGTAGAGGCTGAATTTAAACATGGGTATTTGAACTTTACAGCTATGTTCTTAATTACCATGCTTTGCCATCAATAGAAGAAAAACTACTGGCTCAAGGACTTTCAGAATATTTATGAAAATCATTAGGTTCTCAGGGGATCTTGTAATCATTCTTAATAACTTGTATTTGATTGACTAGTATATTTATAGCTCTTCATTTCTTTAATGTTTAAGTAGTTTTCAGATTTGCTGGTGATAACTCATTTTGTTAAGTGCAGCATACTTTTGTAAAGTAAATAAACTTCTTGATTTAGCCACCGATAAAATATACTATTACAAGAGATAGTAAATCCTTTTGCATTAGAGGGGACTCAGGCAGGCTCATGCGGGTACTTGAGGAACTGTCTTTATAGAGAGATTCAAAGCATTTGATTGGGACTCAAGCAGAAATTACTTAAGGCCGCTTTCTAAATTCTAATTGAGTCTCCTTGTTCTAGTCTTTGTTATGATAGCGTGTCTTCAAATAACTTATATTCATTATAATATGGGCTGGAGTGATAGCACAGCGGGTAGGGCATTTGCCTTGCACGCAGCTGACCCGGGTTCGATTCCTCTGCCCCTCTCGGAGAGCCTGGCAAGCTACCAAGAGTATCTCACCCACACAGCAAAGCCTGGCAAGCTACCCATGACGTATTCGATATGCCAAAAACAGTAACAACAAGTCTCACAATTTGTTGTGAGACGTTACTGGTGCCTGCTTGAGCTAATCGATGAACAGTGGGAGGACAGTCCTACGGTGCTACATTATAACATTGGCACAAATGATGACATTAAATAAAATGAATTTATTTGAGGACCTTCTTTCAGTATAGTTCATTTTGCTTAATGCAAGTTTCCAAGAACTTTGTCCAGGATGTGGAGGAGTTACTATAATTTGAGACTGTATTATCATGATAGAATGAAACTGTTGCTCAGATAATTTGATACGTATTTGGGGCTTCTGAAGGGTTGTCCCTCAAAATGTAATTATTGAATGACAGGAGAGATAGTACAGAATTTAGGGTGTTTGCTTGCATGCAGCCAGCCTGGGTTCAGTCCCCAGTGGCCCAGATAGTCTCTCAAGCCCTCCTGCAGTGATCCTGGAGCTCAGAGCCAAGAGGAAGCCCCAAGCACTACCAGATGTGGCACCAAAAAAAAAAAAAAAAGCTATCATTGGCTATTTAAAAATCTTTCATCTTCTCACAGACAGTTTCCACTTAGTTTTAAATTTGGGGGTGATTTACTGTGAGCCCAGGGTAGATTGCTTATGGTAGCAGAATACTACGTAAGAAGCAGGATGGATTGAATATGAATATTTTATAAGATAGAAAGAAGTGACTTTAAATTCTATTCAGTAATGTTGTTTGTGATATTTCTTCCTCACAGAGTCTTGTAAATCCTTTGTATATTGTCAGCTTTTTGCTGTTTTTACTTGGCAATTTAATATATGCCTTTTGAATAAAACATATAGCCATTTGCCTTCCTTGAAATTATGTCAACATGAAAGCAGAGGTGTTTCGAGGTTTCTCCTTTCCAGTCCAACTTCTATATTTCTATCAGTATTGTTTCACAGCACAGATCTGATCCTGACACTGTCTATGAAAATCCTCCTGTGGTTTATGGTGGACCACATTGGCTGTATGGCCCGCGCAGGGGCTCTCTGGAGTGACTGTCAGGTTCTGGGGGTCTCCTTCCAGTCTCCTCTTCAGCTCTGTGTGTCTCTGTCAAGGCACTATATCACTCACACAGCGTTGCTTGCCTCCTTGCCTTGTCAAGTCTTTTGTGCTTCTTTATTGCCTTAATAAGCAATTTCCTTAATTTGGATGGTTACCCTTTCTCCTTGGCTGGAACGATAGCACAGCAGGTAGGGCGTTTGCCTTGCATGCAGCCGACCAGGGTTTGATTCCTCCACCCATCTCGGAGAGCCAGGCAAGCTACCGAGAGTATCTTTTCCACATGGCAAAACCTGGCAAGCTACTTGTGACGTATTCAATATAACAAAAAAACGGTAACAACAAGTCTCACAATTTGTTGTGAGACGTTACTGGTACCCGCTCGAGCAAATTGATGAACAACGGAAGTACAGTACAGTGCTACCCTTTTTCCCTACCAACCCCTAAATTCAGAAAATTTGTAAGAGAAGGGAAAAGAAGGGGGGAAAAACAGGGAAAGAGCAGAAAGCTTCTCATGGTATAAGAGGGGGTCTCCTATGCAGAATCTGCAGGATTCACTTCCATCTTTCCTTTTATAAATCCTTCAGGATCGTTGGGTCTAAGAGTCACTCTGCTATGAAACCTTCTATGATCTTTCTGTCCTAAAACGGTCTGTGTTTGCCTCTACAAAAAATCCCATATCATTCCACTGTGTTACAACTATTTGTTCCTGTTTATTTCCCACATATGTCTTCTGTTTCCCCGTATCCCTTTGTTGCTTGATACTAGCATGGTAGAAGGACAGGCTCAGAAATCAATGACTGAAGTTGGATTTCGTTATGTTCTTTAGATCACTTGATTCCGTATATTTGCTTTACTTGGATTGTTCTTGAACTGTTGCTTTGGTTTTACCTGACTGTTTAGAAAATGAACATATCTTGGATCTACCATGATTTGTGCACGAAGTATTTTTATTAATATGGTAGGAGTTACAATTTCTATATCAGACAGCTTTGCCTAAGTTGTGCTGCATTAACAGGTGGTCTTTAAATACTAGAGGACTACAAGAACAGACATTTATTTCTCCCAAGTGCCAAAAAGGCTATAGTTGGGCTTTTGCTGTGTTATTCTGTCTTTTCTAGGGGTTCAGATGGCCAGATTGTTTCCTTTTCTAATTTTGGCACAGGACAAAGAACAAGTAGGACCACACACAGTGACTCTTATATTTTAGTCCCAAATGTCTTGTTACTTCCTTTCTCATGCCACATGCCAATGGAAGTCCATCACCAAACCACATGTAAATGGGGCAGGAAAGAATAATCCTCGTAGGAAGAGAGGGACGAATAATCTTTTATAGTACAAAAACAATTTGGAGGCCAGCCGCACACGCTAGGGGAAAAGGCAGCTCAGATAGAAAAGGGAGCACCAAATAAAGGGTGTTGGGAGGATCCTTCCAGGATGGGAGATGCATGCTGAAAGTAGACTATAGACTGAACATGATTGCCACTCAATGCCTCTTTTGCAAACCACAGCACCCAAAAGGAGAGAGAGAACAAAAGGGAATGCCCTGCCACAGAGGCAGGGAGGGATACTGGTATCAGTGGTGGTGGAGCATGGGCACTGGTGGAGGGATCCATACTTGGTCATTGTATAATTGAATCCCAAGCACAAAATTTGTAAGTCTAGAACTGTACCTCATGGTGTTTCCCTAATAAAAATTAGAAACAAAACGAAACAAAACAAAAACCGTTACACAACCTGTTAGAGTTCTTAAAAAAAAACCTTTCATGTACTTGAATTATGTTGTTACATACCAGTTTAAGCACTCATCTTGATTTGAAACCTTTGCTATTTACTTTGCATTCTCCTTTTGAAATGAAGCTTGTGAAGAAACTTCAGTAAGGCTTGGGAGTAATAAGTCATATCCTCTGTTTCTGTGCTAATATTTGTTTCTTTTGTTTGTTTGTTTTTTCTTCTTTTTTGCCACACTCAGTGGTGTTCAGCATTTACTCCTAACTCTGTTTAGGGGTCACTTCTGGCAGAGCTTGGAGGACCATCTGTGGTACCAGATATTGAACTTGGCAAATGCCTTACCTGCTATACTATCTCTTTGACCCCATCATATTTTTAGTGTATCTGTGCATCAGAATTATGTATATTAAAGCTGTCCAGAATTCTAGAGTTAGCCTAAATATAATAAATTAGAATTTGAGGGGTAAGATCCTAAAATATGTAAAATATGTCTTCGATACTTTATCCATTGATTCTGTTGGAAAGCTATGTTTAAGAATAACCTCCTTAAATGCCCATTTCCTCTTTTAACAAGTGGAGACTTACTATATATCATAGTATCTTAGTTGTTAACTTTTTAGTTCTTCTCATAGTTCTTTTTCTTTTAAACCTTTATTAGATAGACACAGTAGCTACTTGGGATTGGTTTGTGATCTTGTAATCCCTTAAAGCAGTAGAGTTTAATACCAAGCTGGGGTAGAAGATTACATCTTTTTGTTTTTGCAAGGATGGGGGTAGTGGGCAGCCCACATCTGGCTGTCCTTAGGATTTACTCTTGGCTCTGCGCACAGGAAACATCCTTGGTGGGGCTCCGGAGACCTGATTACTGTGTATATAGAGAAGAGGAAATCTTTAGAAATAAAATTAATATGTAAGGACCTGTTAATAGATTTTTTCAATAAATGTATAGAATAAAAATCTTTCATTTCTTGTTGTGAAAGCAGCAAGAGAACAAGACTAACTGTAGTGGCATATACTTTGGATTCTGCTATGAGAATTTCTTTTTTATAGACTTTCAGACATAGAGGTTTACTATGAATTTGGAATTTGGATTAATTCTACTCTGTGGTCCTGATAAAATT